CAACATACGTGGACACCGCAAAGCTAGACACAAACGATAAATTGACAAGATATTTTTCGTTGCATAGTGTCAGCCACATACGTTGCTACTGGAGACCTTTTGTTAAGTGCGTGATTTGGGAATGTAAGAAATAATAATTTAGGCCAATCATTATTTGATGTTTCTAAAAGTACTTTCGCTTGTTGGAGCTCGCAGCAGGACGAAATCCCGTCTAGTGCGTGGCATTCGCACCCAACTTCTGGCTCAACGTAAAGCCCACCCCTAGCAGTGCAGGTCCCAAAGAGAGCGGGGCAATGGCGACAGACGACCGGGCACTACTAAGTCTGTCAGTGCACCATGATCACGTGATCCGGACGTAGGCCCAGGCTCACGACGATTTCTACGTCATCGACTACGCCATCCAGTACAATGGCTTCATCGTCACTAAACGACATGTTCCGAGACCACGTATCGAACAAGGTGATGAGATTTTTATGTGAATGCTGTGTACTAACCATGTAAACTGATATCAGGATTTTGTTTTAACCCTTTCGTGGCAAAACGGCGCAGAAGTAGCCCTTTTAGTGGTTAGTGCATGAGCAGTAGGAATCAGCCTCTTAAAAGGCGCATAATTCGCCCTTTAACGGAAGTTCAAGTATATGTTGCGACATAGAATTTACAGTACGATTCGTTACCATTTGTGAATACTTTAATCCAGTTGTAGCACATTGTATCACTATCCTATCTTAAATGATTTGCTACAAGAGATAGTGCTGTTGTTGTTAAAGGCAAATGCCAAAGTGAGTAGATTAAAGTCAATTTAATCTGTCCTCTAAACTTCTACTCTAGCGTTGTCCTCCTTGCTGCCATCTTGTCAAATGCTCCTGGCCATCCACCAGATAAACTGGTTTGGGAACGGTCCATCTTGGAACGTCACGCCGGTTAGCCGAACCATGCAGAGTCGGTGAATATCAACACTCCCACCCACCGCTACTGCATGTCGTTCATCTTCTTGATTCCACTTGCTTCGGGAAGGAACGCTAGCAACTTTGTTCCCAGTGCTTTCTTCGGCTAACTGCGGCTTCGTGTCGATGTAGGCCACCTTGATTGTGAAACGTTTCACATTGTCTCGAATAAAGTGGTGACGGATATCCACGTGATTGGTCCTCGCGTGTTATCCAGCGCTGCATGCAAGTGCAATAGCACCTTGATTGGCTTCCCAGACCTGCGTCTCTCCCACTTGTTGGTGACCCATCTCCTTTAGCATGGCACATGTTCACAGTACCTCTTTAGTACAAATGCTTAGTGCCATGATTTCTGCTGCCGCTGAGCTAAGTGCAACCTACCTCTGGTACTTGGATTTAAACAGCACCGGAGCGTTCCCAATCATGACTATGTCGCCTGGCACTGGACGTCTGTCGTCAATGTTGCTTCCCCAGTCTGCGTCCGTAAACGCTTCTGCCTTGACTGCTTGCGTTCCATATCCACTCGTTCCACTTTTGTATACGATACCATGATGGCGAGTGGACTTCAAATACGGCAGAAAACGAATCGCTGCCTTCAAGTGTTGCGTTCCGGGATTATCTAGGAAGCGTGACAACTGCGTGACAACGTAGGCAATGTCCGGCCGAGTGCAGGTTGTGATGTACATGAGACAACCGATTAAGGAACGATACGGTCGTGACCGCATTTCGGCACGTTTTTTTTCGTAGTCGGCGACATCATCTTGACAACTTCAGGTTTGCTGCACAAGGGTTCTTCACCATCTTAGCGTTCCGTTGATTGAATCGTTTCACAATATCATCAATGTACCGAGTTTGATCATCAACGCTCCATATTCTATATCGTGGTCAATCTCCATTCCCAAAATGAATTTGGCCTCGCCAAGCTCCTTTATCTTGAATGCGCCATTCAGGGCGCCCTTGACTTTGCGAATATCGTCGCGCGTTTTAGCCCCAATGATCATGTCGTCCACTTATGCACATACGTACACGAATGCGTTATTCGAACGAGTTGCCATTCCACGTGGAGCGAGCGCCCATGTTCCATTCCGGGAATGCGAATTCAGCTCTGACTGCTAGGCTCGACGCCACTCTCCTGCTTAACACTGGCAATAGCTTCTGCGTATGTGTTAGGCGTATCTGAAACGCCAGGAATTATGGCCGCGTACGCCAACACTGCCTCTGCGAGCAAACCATCTTCGTCGATTCTGGCACGCTTAGGAGATATCAGTCCATCACTTCCACGTTCTACATCGTCATTGTCACCGTTCCCAAGTAGAATAACGGTTCGCGAAGGCGTGTAGATCGTTCCGTTTCAGGATGGAAGATCATCCGGTCCTCTTGGTACGATGGGGGCTGCGAATGGAACGTTGCCAAATCCAACCCATTTAACCTCCGGCGCGGGTAGCCGCTGAATTTCTGCGCTCCGTTCCGGTTTTTCCTCCGGCGCGGGTAGCCGCTGTATTTCTGTGCTCCGTTTCGGTTCAAGGTCGTCTATCTTAATGTCTTGTGCAGGCTCCTCTGCTTCTTCCATCGGTTCATCCTGAGCAGGCTGACATTCTACTTCAAATATTGGAACGATCGTATCATCGTTCCTCGTCACATGGATAACCATTCCTGAAGCTGGCGACTGCGTGTCATAGATTCCGTCCATCTCACGATCGTCCAGCTTGACCGACCGTATCACCTTGACCTTCGAAGCATCCATGTCGTACACACGATATCCTTTTACGTTCTTAGCGTACCCGAGGAACGTGCACGTAAAGCTCTTGGGTTCCAGCTTCGTTCTCATCACGTTGTCTACATGAGCGTACCCTTGTGATCCAAATACACGTAAGTGTTCCATCCGTGGCTTCACCCGGAACGCCAACTCGTACGGCGTGACATCAGAGTTTGATGTGTTCGTGGAACGGTTGATGAGATACACTGCAGTACGAACCGCTTCCGCCCACCACTGCGTCGACATAGACTTGTAGTGCAGCATGCTTCTTGCCTTCTCCATGATGGTCCGGCTCATGCGTTCCGCCACTTCATTCTGCTGAGGGTTGTATGGAACGCTACGCTGATGTACGATACCGTTCCGTTTGCATAGTTCCAAATCAGTCTTGTTCACGAACTCCGTTCCAATTATCGGAACGTAGACATTTTAGACATCCCCCCACTGGTTTTCGCACAATGCCTTGAACTCCTTCAGTTTACTACCCACCTCGCTCTTGCTCTTCATTAAGTACGCAACGACAAACCTTGAGTAGTCGTCTACGAACGTCAGAACATATTTGGCACCACTCTTTGAGATTGTTCTCATTGGGCCCATTACGTCCATGCGCACTAGTTCCAACACACGCGTCGCTCTCGTTAGTGATCGTGACAGGAACGTCGTCACGGTCTGCTTTCCCCTCATACATCCACCGCATAAAGTCTCGTTCCCATTTTTCACATGTGCGATACTAATCGTGAAACGTTGAGCTCTCGTCAGCACGTCCTTGTTGGGGTGGCCCATGCGAGCGTGCCAAAGCTTCCACACGCTGTCATGACCAGCGTATTGCACGAATTGTGCCTCCTCCTGCTGACAGTCTAGCAGGAACGTCCTACCGACCTTCTTCCCTGACGCTATCGCAGTGTTTCGTCCCCAAATTACACAACTGGAACGCTGGAACTCCACGCTCATGCCTCGTTCCGCGAGCTTCCCGACCGACAATAACCGTCTATCGAGCCCCGGAATTTGGAGCACGTCCGCCATTCGGGTGCGTTTACCGTCCAAACCAGTCAGCTTGACCGTTCAAGTTCCTGCGACGCGTAGCTTCTTACTATCTGCAATCGTCACGTTGATGCCACTATCTAGTGCCTCGTACCCAAATAGGTCGTTCCGGTGAGGGGTCATTTGCGACGTCGCACCACTATCAATCCACCACCTGACCGAGCGTTCCCCACCAACTACAAACACAGCATCGTCTTGACTGCCCGTCTTCATAACAGGACAGTTCCGCTTCATGTGAACCACTTGGTCACAGTTGAAACACTTGCCCTTGAAACCAACGTTCCATTTTCGACCGTTCCCTCGGCCGTTCCGGAACTTGCCTGCGTTCCCGTTCACTTGGAACGCCTTCTCCGTGGTTTCCTTCTTCACGAGTTGCTCGTGCTCCTTCAACAGCTTTCCCGTGGCATAGCTGAGCGTCACACCCTTGGCGTCCTCCACAATAGACGCAATGAGCTCGTACTCAACAGGGAGGCTGCTCACCAGCAGCACCAGCTGGCGTGTATCGTCCATAAGCTCTCCCAGCGTCTGCAACCCGACGTCCAGCTCGTCAAACACATCCAGATGGTTGGCCATAGTCGTTCCACTCTCCAGCTTGAACTCGTGGAGGCGACGCGTCATCGTCACGCGCTGTGGAGCGTGGTGCGGTTGTAGAACTCTCGCAGCATTCCCCACGCGTCTATGGAACGCGTGGCCGACCAAATAGCTGTCTGAGGCTGGCGTTCCACTCCCTGAGCGATGATGCCGAGCGCCTTGGCATCATTGACGAGCCAGGCGTCGGTGATCTCGTTCTCTGGCTTGACGGCTTGAATATGCGCAAGCAGGCCCTTCTTGGTTAGCGTCCTGCGCATATTGTACTCCCAGTGAAAATAGTTCCCACTCCCTAGGAAGGCTTCGGCGTGCTTAGTCGTCGTCATGATTTGGAACGCTCCGGTAGAGTTGAGAGCTGCGGCTGCTAACCTGTTGTTGTTAAAGACAAATGCCGAACTGAGTAGATTAAAGGCAGTTTAATATGCCCTCTAAACGTCTACGCTAGCGTTGTTCACCTTGTCGTCATCTTGTCAAATGCTCCTGGCCATCCACTAGATTAAGCGGTTTGGAAATGGTCCATCCTGGAACGGTCCATCTTGGAACGTCACGCCGGTTAGCCGAACCGTGCAGAGTCGGTGAATATCCGCGGATAGGTCAATAGGAGTATCGTGAGGGCGAGCAATGTCTCCTTTAGATGTAAATGAGTTCTGGTTGTTTTCTATAGTCAATACAAGATGCGCGCGAAACGATTAATTGAAGAGAATTTTTCACGGCAAGAGATTACCGACCAATTGGGTGCGTTCGCACGACATCGACTTCACGTTCGTGGGGACGGAATTTATGCCCAATCCCCGTACAATGTAGCCTGTAGTTAGCCTCCCGCCTTCTGTAACGTCTGCTGTGACTACATCGAGTCTGCATGATAGCAATGAGAATGATATAGAGGCTGAGAACGACGACGTCCAAGAGAACGGGATGGTAGTTGATCATAAAGGCACCAAGTGCATCCGGACCATCGATCTCTCGGACGTGACGTACTTTAAAGTGCCACGTGAACAGCTGCCGATGCTGCACGGGGAAGGCGGCGAGACGATGGGCAAGTTCCAGGAGTACACTGGGACCTACATCGTCCTCCCGTCGCCCGCGGCATCAGCAGCCTTCTCGATGTCGAATGTACTAACGTTGTCCATCTATGAGTGAGTCCACTACGGCATGTGAGAAATTATCCTACTATTTCTTTCTGCCGGAGCCAAGTGGACAGTAGGCTGTGGGCCACTTGGACGCTTTTCTTGTCCAAATGCAGCAACAATACGCTTACCAACACCAACAGCAGTACATGGCCAGCCAAGTTCATCAAGTAGGGATGTATCCACACCAGCACCAGTCAAGCAACGGTACCCAAGACAACCAAATGATGAAGATCGATCCCTACATAACTGTGAGCCTCAAAAAATATTCTATCCGTGCTTGTAGCTGCTATTTTCAGCCTCTCCAAACTTTTTCTCGTTCTGTTTAAAAAAAACATTGATAGAGCTGTTTTAAACATGTTTTAATACTAATTCCGTCCCACATACTCGTATTTCTTCTTTCCAGCCTTGAGCATCCATCTCCTTTCTCCGCTTGCCTCCTTTCTGGAACGACTGCCGGTTGCCCACACGTGACTCTCTGCGACCCATTTTCGCTCGCGTTTAAACATATGGGCAGCTTTCGTCTGCTCTTTCTCCTCCTGCTTCGCCTCTCGCTGTCCCATGAGCTTCTTCGCGTTTCTCGACGTTTTGGCGACGGTTCTCGATCTTCGCGAGCGCACACATCACCGCCTTCTCCACGCTTTTTTCACGTCGCCAAGGTCGCTTTCCTTAACGCCCTTTTTTGAACTTCTGACGACGCTCCTTCTCAACCTCCTGCGTGGCCTTCTCGATCGTGCGAATGAACATCTTGCAGCGATCTTCTTGAGTGATAACGTCATACGCCTTTGTCACCTCTTAAAAAAACAGCATCAAAATATGATTTAACATCACTAAAAGACTACGTATGACAACGTACCTTGCGAGCCTTGGGGTTGCGACACTTATCCGGATGTACCATCGTGGACATCAACAGTAAATGGACAAGCGTTATACACCTGTATTATTGGAAGTAGTGGCTTGCGTCACGTGAGGTCGATCACGTAACGCCAGCAAATACCTGTCGACAGCAACCGACGCTGAGGCCTAACAGAAACGGATGCACAAGCTGTTAGCTAGGGTAACCACGTCGCTAGCAAAAACCTTTCAATTCTACTTAGTTCGGGGCATTACTACATTACGTTGCGGCGCGGTGCGCCACCTGAAGATCCAACCTACCCTTCCATTTGGTTATGAGGCCAACTGCCTAACCAGCTGCGACTAGTAATAATACGCGAAGCGTCGTCGAAGATTAAGGCGGAATGAATGCACGAGGTGCTGACGACTTTGCTGACGCCCGTGAAGGTCCACCGTCGAAGCCGCTGGGTTTCCCTGATGATCTTCGCTTTGATGGAGCCGATCGTGAAACTGTAGCGCTACACAGTCAACCCCAGCTGATACGGCAACGGGGTGCTAGAACACTATCAACGTCAGACACTAGCATGGCCACAGCTCCTCCTATTTAAGAAACCTAAGATTAACGATGTTGACCGCCCGAACTTTAAGGAAATTGAGGTTAACCCTTGTCTTGACGCAGGATTCGAGAGTTTGATCCATAAATTCGAGCACGCAGTAAGGACCGAAGGACTCGTGAATGGCTCGACATGGACGGACGAGCTCAAGGCGTCCACAATGGCAACTTTCTCGAAGGCAACGCATCCAGACACTACCACAAGAAAAAAAGCAGAGTTGAGACAGCGTCATGGAGAAGAAGACATGCCATACTCCGAGGTGAAGCGAGCGTTACTAAAAGAGTTTGGCTGTAAACTATGTCACCTCGAACTCATCACTAAGATGCAATGCTTTAAGCGTGAAGGCGATTCGTGGCACGATTACTTGGAATACTTGAACTTCATTGAGAGCTTAATGGAGGACGACCTGACAAAACTTCTCATGGAAATATTTGGCAACAACGCGTGCCCCGAGCTTACCCCTACGCTGTTATCCTCAATATCGGACGAATCAACAAAGTACGTCTCGGAAACGGACCGCATGAAGCGACTGCTTTATAAATTGAAGGGCAATGGTCGCAAAAGTGGCGTTCAGCGTAAAAATTGTCACGGAGACCGCAACAAATCACATGGTACTCGCAACCACGAGCGCAACAATCGCTTTAATGACCACAATGGTGTTGGTGGGGGGGGGCACGGAAATAATGGCGACTGTGCTGGTAAGTCAGCCTCGACACAAGCTTTTTTCCGTGTCCCGCGGTTGAACAGGCAAAGCGAATGACGTCAAGCGGTAATGCAAACATCGCGGCTGCTAGTGAAGAAAGTGAGGAAGATGAGGACTCGGCACACGACTCCGACGCTGACGTCTGGTTGGCAGCAAAAGCTACTAAACAGCCTGAACACGATGGAACGTGGACAGTCGATTCAGGAGCTATTCACCATTTGTGCAGCGACCGCAGTCAGCTTTTCGCGTTGGAACCAGCTTACTTATCTGTCCGAATTGCAAACGGAAATCTCGTTCCGGCTAAAGGGCGAGGTAGTAAGGTTATCACTGTGACTGTGAAAGCAGTAAAGCCAACTATTTTGCTGAAGAACGTGTATTTCGCGAAGGATACTGATCCCGATTTCGGTTGGCCACTTGAGTAAGAAGACATCTCGTGCACCTTCGGTGAAAAGAGAAGTGCATTATTCGAAGCAAAACTGGCATAGTTCTTGTGGAAGTGGGCCAATCTCCGACTACTAACCTATGGTCTATCGGGATTGAGCAAGGTGCAGCCTCATTTGCAACGAGGACGTCGTCTACACTCCAGCAATGGCACGAGCGGCTCGGCCATGTTAATTATCAGGATCTTCTTCGAATGCTCGACAAGAAGCTCGTTGAAGACATGATCGCAACGAACAGAAATGTGAATTTCGGTATGAATTGCGTGGAAGTAACGCAAGCTCGTCGGCTCACAACACGCATGATACCTTCGCTTCGGCCCCAACGGATGAACCAGGCGCAACACTTTGTGTAGACTTGAAGACCGACATGACTCCAGATCGCTTAGGACGCAAGCACATTTTGACCATTGTCGACCACGATAAAATTTTCATCCGGGTCTATCTTCTTTACAAAAAGGGTGATGTTGAGGGGAATATTGACGACTTCGTTAGCGAGCTCGAACGTCAGTATGACATTAAGCTGAAGGACCTCCAATCTGACGGAGGTGGTGAATTTGGAAGCACGCGCCTTAATCGTTTCCTGTTGAATCGAGGAATTCGATACCAGTCAACCGATGCAGGAATGTCCTCGTCAAACGGTAAAGCCGAGCGCTTTCATAGGACTGTGATGGATTCGGCCCGGGCGATGTTGTGGGCCTCCGCGTTGCCTAAGCGCTTCTGAAAGGATGCTGTTCTCTATGGGAGCTACATCCGCAGCCACTTGCCGACTAGATCGAACGCAGACCATGCGTTACCGATCGAAGCTCTTACGGGTAAAACACCAACTATCTCCCACATACTACGGTTTGGAACTAAGTGTACCAGCCATGTTGCTCATGCAGCTAAGAAATCGACTAAAATTCGAGCTGAGAAAGGTATCATCGTCGGCATTGACATGCACATCAAGGCATACAAGGTTTTCATCCCGCGTACCACGCGTATGGTGATCGCTACTCTAATTCAAAATATTGACCGCATTGATGCGCGAGCTGTGGGACGATACATGGATGCCGTCAACATACAACAAATCAGGGGTGAAACTGCGGATGGTAACGGCGAGGAAGAAAATACTGGCAAACATGTTGAACAAACGGAACTCAATGGCGTACAACCCGAGGACGCGGAAGGCAATCATGACCTGAGTGCACGCGCAATCCAGCGCGTCTTTGGTTTGAACCGCGGAGCCCGGCCGCTCCCAAATGATGACTTCACGTTGCCTCAGCTCTTTATTGAAGGGTGTTCGACTCCCGTGAGTGCGTTTCGCACCGTATCACTTGAAGGCGGAACAGCACTATCGACTCTGCTCGCAAGTAAGAACCTTACAGAGCCGGCAACTGTCAAGGAAGCTAGATGCAGTTTACAATGGTCAAAATGGGAAAGGGCGATGCAGGAGGAGCTGCGAGCTATTGTCGAGAATGCAACGCAGAAAATTGCTGATACACGCATTGACGGAAACCTGATAACTGCGAAGTGGGTATTAAAGCTGACGTTCGACGACAAGGGCAAGCTCGAGCGGTTAAAGGCTAGGCTTGTCGAACGTGGCTTCAACCTATCGGCTTCGGAGTAGCGTTTGCTCCGGAGTTGATGCTCGCTAGGCTGCGACAAACAGTCGCTTTAGCAGCACTTTGGCAAGCGTCATCCGTGAAGAAGACGTACCAATCGCATACCTGCGAGCCGCGTTGGACCGGGCTATCTACAGGAAAGCACAAGAAGGCCTAAAACTACCAAAAGGAAAGTCGCTGTGGTTGCAAAAGGGCCTTTACGGTCTGAAGCAAAGCGGAAAACTCTGGAATGACGAGATTTACAACTACCTACTAGAATTAGGCTTCAAGCGAAGCAAGCTCGACCCATGCCTGTACTTCCGGCGGTCCGATGGTAAGCTTACCTGGGTTGGGATTGTACGTCAACGACGTTATCATCGTCAGCTAGCAAAGCAGCGATACAGACTAGACGATGCAGATGCTCAACAACCAATTCCAAATCAAGGACATGGGTGAGGCCGAGAAATGCTTGGGCATCGGTATCGAGCAGACCGAATCGGGCATTTTCCTACAACAATCTGTCGATATTGACCAACTTCTCACAAAACGTTGCATGAAAAACTCTCGTGCTGTCGCAACACCAATGGAATCGACGCGTGCATTAGAGACAGAGGACAGCGAGCCCCTCTTCGACACAGACGCTATGCGAGAGACAATTGGAGCGTTACTATGGTTGAGCACGTGTACACGCCCAGATATCACCACGCCGGTAAACTATCTCGCTCGTTTTGTTATGTCCCGGACAACTGCTCATTGGACAGGTATCAAACGAGTGCTACGCTACCTACAAGGATCGAGAGGATTGAAACCCGCATTCATTAGGCCTCAACGATCACAACAACATGCTAAAGCAATCATTTTCAATGATGCTGACTGGGCTGGTGGCAAGGACGCTAAGTCTACGTCTGGTGGCCTCCTAGTAATGAACGACATGCCCATCTCGTGGTACAGCAAGAAGCAGTTTCCAGTAGCCTTGTCAACGACCGACGCCTAATATATTGCA